CCTGATACCAGACAGGGCGGGCCTGGAGGGACACCGACAGGGATGCTTAGTGCTAAAGAAGCTGGTGACAAGCTGCCTGTGACCAGTGGGTGGGATCTTTTTGATGCTTCTGACCAGCCTCTCCAGGTCCATGCAGGGACCCTGGCTTGCACCCATCTCACCCTCTGCCCCACAGGCCTTTTATAGGATGCTGGGCAGCAGGGGACGGTGCAATCTGACTGACGTCCCTGCTTCTCGTGGGGCATGCAGGGCCCTCTCCAGGCAGAGATCTCCTTAGCACACACATGGTCCTCATTCCTGTTGAGTACCAGCTGGTGCCAGCCAATAGCCCCTGAGAGTAACACCCACCATTGGCAGACACCCCGGGGAGCTGTCCAACGTGCTGGAAGGGAAGGAGCTGCATTAGCAGGAGGGTGCACCGGCCTCGAGGCACCTACCATGATGAGGTATTTGGATCTGTACTGGATGGTCCCAAAGATGCCCAGGATGACAGCCATGATGTGTAAAAAATTGGCCAGGATGGGCACCCACTGATAGCCCAGGAAGTCAAAGATCTGCCTCTCCAGCGCTGCTATCTGGAAAAGAAGAAAGGGGGAGAGCGGGGAGTCACTCCGCGTGCAGCAGCTCAGGGGACACGAAAGGCAAAGTGTATCATGTAATTAATGGGAAATCCCATGGACAATTAGTTACAATAGACTGAAATGTCGGCATGATTCATTGTCCGGCATCGGGCAAATCCATCACGGCAGGGAGGATTTATTAGGAAAAATCACCAGATGGAGGAGGAGGGCCAGGAGCGGGGAACGGGCGGCCAGGAGTCCTCTGGACAACAGGTAGGAACCTCCCACCCCCCGCCGAGCTGCCGGCCACAGGCCCCTGCTGTCTTAGCACAGAACTTGAGCAAGCATCTCCCTTATGAAAGTGAAGGCAGATCCAGGGGAGCAATTTCCACGGGGTCCCGGGGCTTCCCGACAGCAGCGATGCTAAAATCAAGACTGGACGTTCTTTCTAAAAGCCCAAGGGATTATTGGGGGGCAGATGGGCAGAGCAGAGCCGGGGGGAGCCCTCAAAGTTCATGGCACTGCAGCCCCCTTCTGACAACAAAAATTGCTACATGGCTGCAGGAGGGGGATGGAGGCCTGAGCCTGCTTAAACGCCCGGCCCCGGGGTGGGAGGAGGGGAGGCAAATCCTGAGTCCGACCACCCCAGGCATGGGGACCAAAGCCCAGGCAGGAGGCTGTAACCTGATCCCCGCTATCCAGGGCTAAAGCTCCTGGGTTTGGGCTTTGGCCCCAGGATCAGCGAACGCCAGCCCTGGCAACCCCTTTAAAATGGGGTTGGGACCCACAGCGTGAGAATCGCGGGACTCCATGACTGTGATGGTCCCTGCTGGGCCTGGATTCTGTGAGTCCATGAAAATACCCTGCAGGGAGGCTGTGGTGCTTTCCTGGGGTCCCTGCTCCCGGCAGCAGGCCAGGCACAGACACTCGGAGCTGATGGCTCCAGACTGCCCCTCTTGGCTGCAGGCAGCAGAGCTGGGACTTGCCCCAGGCCTGAGGGTACGTCGAGACAGCGGAGCTATTTCGGATTCTGGAGATCTCCCGAAATGGCTCTTCCACGTCTTGTACAGGCGCCCGTTATTTCAAAACAGACTGCGAAATAACGGGCGCGCTGTTCCGGCACCGCTGCAGCCCTTGCTCCACCAGGGCTACGGGCTGTCTCGAAATAGCACGTTATTTCGAAATGCATTTGGAATAAGCTACAAGCACAAGCGGGTAAGCTTGATCTGAGATGGGGTGCTGTGTAGACGCACCCTGCGAGACAGAGATGGGCCAGGGCTGTGACGTTGGCATCTGGACCCAAGCTTCCCCAACGCCGGAAGAGGCTCACATCCGATTTTCTCGTACTGAGCTACCCGAGGGCTTTGTCCTGCCCTGACCAGCGCCGGGCCCTGCAAAGCAAGACGCCCCCTCCCAGTGGGCGTGGGAGGAGGCTGGAGGCTGCGTTCCGTCAGCGCCACCACACCCCTGTGCAAAGCTGCTTGGGGAGCAGGCCCAGCCCGCAGGGGCTCAGGGAGCACGGAGCGGCAAACGGGGAGCACGGTGGCTTGGTCAGGTTGCAGGTCAAGTGGGGCTGGGTTATGGACCAGCACTGGCAGCTCAAGCAAGGCGATAATGGCGGGAATGAGACTTGCCAGGTTTAGCTCAGGCAACTCTTCTGTTTCAACGTCCTTCCCTCGCTCCCCGCCCTGCAGCGCTGCAGGGGGAGCTGCCCGCCCGGCACTAGGCTCTCGGCTTGGCACAAACCAATGGGAAACCCCTGAAAGAACAGCCAGGGCCAGCTTCATCCCGGGTTGAATTTGCTTCCAGGAAAATGTCCTCGCCCTCGGTCTAGCAGAACAGGGGGTATGTTTTCAAATGACTTTTCTAGGGTCCTTTCCAGGAAAGGAGAACATCTGAGCTGTGCCCCATTTCCCTCTAAATCCGGTACTTGCTGGTTCATTGCTGGATGCCTGACTCAATGTGGTTTGACCTGCGCTCGGCTGTGTCTAGACTGCATCCCTTTTTCGCAAAAGGGATGCAAATTAGACGTATTGCAATTGCAAGTGAAGCAGGGATTTAAATCTCCCCCACTTCATTAGCATAAATATGGCTGCTGCTTTTTTCCGGCTCGGAGCTTTGCTGGAAAAAAGCGCCAGTGTAGACGCAGATCTTTCAGAAAATAAAGCCTTTTCCGAAAGATCCCTTATCGCTCTTAAAATAAGGAATAAGGGATCTTTCGGAAAAGGCTTTGTTTTCCAAAAGCTCATGTGTTAAAGCTTTCCCCCTTACATTCAGAAATCTCTTTGTTTACTGCCATGATTTGTAATGGTCCTTGTCTTTCATAAACCATAAATAAGGCTTTGATGTGGTTTTAAATCTTGTGTAGTGATTTCTGCAGGCGTGTAAAATTAAAGCCCATTTCTGCCCACTATTCCATTCTGTAGTTAGCTCTGTTTTTCTCATTGGCTTCAGGCCTGTTAACCTTAATTACAGAATTTGACGAAGAAAAGGTTTAAAAGAGGTGGCAGCCTTGGCAACCCCCTGATTTTCTCACGAGATACTTTGTGGTTTTCTTACAGCCCTAGCACCTGGAATCAAAGGGTTAGACGGGAATCACAGCTTTCAGGGTATGTTTACACTACAGAGTTTTTTCGGAAAAACGTCCATTTTTCTGAAAAAACTTCAATTATGTCCACACTGCAATCACAGTCTTTGGAAAACAAATCGAAAGAACTGAGGGGGTTTTCCGACGTTGGTAAACCTCTTTCTATGAGGAAGAAGCCTTTTTCCAAAAGAGCTCTTTCGGGAAAAGGTTCATGTGGACAGGGAAGAGGGAGTTCTTTTGAAAGACGAGGAAGGAGGAAAAAGCACAGGTGACCTGGTAGCCACTCCACCCATAGTAATCCTGGATGACTGCTGGCCTGCATGCAAAAAGTGAGGGAGTGAGACCTCCTCCTTCCACTCTGTGAGACGGGAGTATCTGGCCCCAGTGCTGCGCTGAGGAGAATAGGGGTGTTTGAAAACGTTTCCCTGAGCTCCAAACTAAGATTTTTCAATGCTGGATCAACCCCACCACTTGTGGGCAAGTCGCTTCCCCACTCAGTGCCTCAGTTTCCCCATCTATAAAATAGAAACAATGATACGTTTGAGAAGCCCGATGAGATTTACTGATGTGACATGCTGTATAAGAAGAGAACTTGCTCTCTGAGAACTAGGGACTCTTATGAGTCAGCAGCTGCCGCGGGAGCAGCTAGCTCTGTGTGAGGGGCCCGGTGCTGCACAGTCTTCTCCCCTTCCCTGCAGTGCCCATGTCACATGATCAAAACTGTGAAGACAAAAATGTTCCTCCCTCAGAAAAGGGGTGTTGTCAAAAGTGAAACTTTCACACCCACCACGACGTTCCTGAAAAAAGTATTTGGATTTTTACTGAAAAACTAAAACTCTACAATTGTGTGTGTGTGCGCGTGTGCGCGCGCGCGTGTGTGTGTGTGTGCGTGCGTGTGTCTGTGTGTGTGTGCGCGCGTGCGTGTTAGGGGAAAAGGGGTCATTTTCTAGGCCACTCTAGAAAATATGTTTTGAATACAAGCCAGACTTTACACTTTGGGATCTAATGGAGAACTAACTGTATACGGCACATCCAACACACATGCCCACACAGTCTGATGAGTCTATCAGGGCTACGTTGACTTTGTTGAAAACCTGCATTACTTCCCACATGACACCCAGCACCAGGCAAGGAAACACAGAAAGCTGACTCCTAAAACCCAGTTCTTTGGGTTCTTTGCTTGTACAGGTCTTAGCGCAACAAGGCCCTGGTCTGTGACCAAAGGGCTTGTCTTGGTGCAAAGTCCCGTCCCAGGGAACGTGCTTCATGCCAGTTGTGTGGCGCACTCGCTTAGGAAATGAAAACACAAAGGCTCCTGCCCGGGGGCGCTGGTCAGGGTGTTACCCTGCCCGGGAAGGAATCGCAGCTCAACATTTACCGTCCAGTAGACAGATTAAATGACCTACCAGGATCTTTCTTCCCCTTTTACTGCTGGCCAGAGACCCCTCCCAGTCCCAGCCCGACCTCGGTTACCAACACTCTCTCGTTTTATTACAAGGGTCATACTTGGGGTTATTCTTAAAGCCCCAGCTCGGGGCACCGGAAGTGAGGGACTCTCCGCTGCCGTTCAGAAGAGGAAGGGGCAGCTTTGCGAAGGTATTTAAGCACTTAAAGACGCAGACAGGCATCTAGTAAGATTTACAAACTTAAAAGCAGGTTGGGGGCTTACTTGCCATTGACAGTCAATTGGGAGTAGATGAGTAACGCCTATAGGTACATCGGTAACGCCCCCTCCTCACCCGTAGGGCAATGCCATTTCACAGCACCCCAAACACCAGCAGGAGTGAGTCAACGTCAATGGAATTAAGTTTTGATTTTTGTGACTTAAAAAATCATTTCAGTACAGCCAAAACACGCTGGTTGGACATTTTTGGCAAGGCCCATGTCCACTTTTCATTTCAGAATGACTTTGTGTTTTAAAGTTAAAATAAATGTAAGAACATAGGTCAGAGCAAAGGTCCATCTAGCCCAGTGTCCTGTCTGCTGCCAGTGGCCAATACAGATGCCCCAGAGGGAGGGAACAGAAGAGGTAATCCTCACGTGATCCCTCCCCTGTCATCCATTTCCAGACAAACAGAGGCAGGGACACCATTCCTACCCATGCTGGCTAATAAGCAGGGCTCGACAAACCACTGTTTCTACTCGCCTGTGGTGAGTAGATTTCAGTCGGTCGCTCCATTTGCCCTGTTCACCGGTGCTGCGTGCATGCGCGGTGCGGGGCTGGCAAGTAGATCTCGCCACGGTTTGTCGAGCCCTGCTAATAAGTATTGATGGACCTAACCTTCATGAATTTATCTAGCTCTTTTTTGAACTCTGTTAAGGTCCTAGTCTTTACAACATCCTCTGGCAAGGAGTTCCACAGGTTGACTGTGCGCTGAGTGAAGAAAACTTTATTTTGTTTGTTTCAAACCACTGCCTATGAATTTCATTTGGTGACCCCTTATTCTTATATTGTGGGAATAAGTAAATAACTTTTCCTTATTCACTTTTTCCACAC